CCTTGCGTATGTTTGGCACCATGTTGTCTGCGTCGGAGGGGGTGTATTGGGGTGTACCAGCGGCTTGTCAATGCCAGACGTCCCCTAGGAGATGCACTAAGGCGCTCGATATGCCTGCACAAAACGTTTGGGCTTTACAACCTGCAGGATCTCAAGATAGTGTGAGGCGGAGGTGATTCTCGACGGCTCGCCTCCTCTTACGACAAAAAATAATTCAAGATGGCCAACGATGAGATGCAGAGCTTTCGCTTGCAGACTTCTATCCGTCTCCGGGTCCTCCCAGCTTCACAGGAAGCATTGCCTGACCGTTTAATACACCTTTAATGTTGACGAGGCAAACACCGTACCGTCCTGCAGCTGCTCCTTGTGCTATCCCCAAGCCACCCACTCTGCCCGTGCTGCTGCAGAACAACCATATTGCTTATGCCCAACTGGTAGCCGCCAACTGATCCTGCAGAGTTGGTCTCGGGAGCCACAAAGAGTGATCGATCGCCAAACTATTCCTGAGTCCCAACCAACCAATCAGCAGCTGCTCTTCAAGCGACCGGCGCAGCGCCCTTCAACCAACGGCACAGAGCAGTACTGTGGAGCAACCACACCTTTTCATAGCTTGCGTCAGAATATCTGCTTTTGCTTGTGGCAACAAACGACCTCCCAGAAACTCCGGGCAAATCCCACAGTCGCTCGACNATAGTCTTGAGAATTGTGAGGCTTCGTCAGTAGACAGCACAGCGCTTCTTCTCCCGTCCTTTCCGATGTTAATGGTGCGTAAACAAATGATGCCGAATGCACAATCAACCCATTTGGGGTATCCCCCTGAGCCCCAGGCTTTGCGTTGCACAGTTGCCTTGGTCGCGGCTGCTAGTCAGCTCTTTGAAACCCTGTGGTTCCACGCTGCATACGATAAGGCAGTCACAACAAACCACAGAAGTTTCGGTTTGGCGCGCATGAGCGTCCGCCGTCTTCCTATTTTTTTCGCTTTACATGCTATGCTTTGCAATTATCCGTATGTGTCTCTTCTGCCAGACACATACCGAGCATTGCAAAGCATACGCTCTAGAGCCTACCATACGCAAAACGGGGCATCAATAGACTGCCCCGTTTGGCGTTCGCTAGCAATCAACGAACATACACTCACCGACAAGTCGGATTGTAGAAGAACCAATTACGTTGCTGCCAGCTTCCGACTTCAACTCCACTTTTCTCTCTATGACGGGTCTACCTGCAAGGCCGTCAGCAAAGAAAGCAAATCGAGACAACCTATGACCGAAGCATGGGAGATGCGTCTCAACGGATTATGCTAGCAGGCGAAAATTACGATTGCAGGAACACAAAATTCCTGAACAAGAGAATGCCTGTTTGGACAGCTAAGGAAGTGATGAAGCGGCACGTTGGTCTTACTGTCTCCATTCTCGAAAAGCGCAGTCACATCCACAAGGAAGTTTTCCATAAATATCGCGGCGGCTTGCAACATCTGTGGCGCACATTGAAATCGCAAAGGGATGAGGCGTAGTGTGAATATCATCGGCTGGAAGAACGGGACATCCTGCGGGGAGCAATGACCAGTAATCCAACCATTTGGGCTCATTCCTCATGACTGCCGCCCAACGTACTCTTTCGCTTGGCCAACCAGGACAGTAAACCTACAACAAACACGCAATATCAAGAACGCTTAGTGGGCGTGAAGTGAAATCAAGCCGCCGCCGCCTTTCTTTGCTGAAGCTGACACACAGTGCAGAGTGCATGCGTTTTCTTCTCACCGTATGAGAAACACTAATCTC